CATCTCTACATTGTACTTTAAAGGGACTGCTCTAGATGGCAGTATGCCTACGGCTAAATAGCTGTCACCAGAGAAAATAAAACCATAGCAAAGGAAGTAGACCAACTAAATATTAACTAAATGCAAAATAAAATCAGCTGTCCACAAAATCAGTCAAGGGAAACACAAAAGTACAGAATAAAACACCTAACATAAAGAGTGGAAGAGGAAGCAAGAAGAAGGGAGAAAAATAAAGAATCATCAGACTGTTTATAACAGCATAATAAGTGAGTTAAGTTAGACGGTTAGATAGTAAAGAAGCTGCCCTTGAACCTTCGTTAATCACAAATCCAAAGCCTGCAGTGGTAATAAGTACACATCCATTGATAATCACCCTAAAAGCAAATGGACTGAATGCACCAATCAAAGACACAGAGTGATAAAATGGATAAAAAATCAAGACCCATCTATATGCTGCCTACCAGAGACTCACTTCAAACCCAAAGACATACAAAGGCTAAAAGTGAAGGAATGGAAAAATATTTCATGCAAACAATAGGGAAAAAAAGCAGGTGTTGCAGTACTTGTATCAGGCAAAATAGACTTTAAAATGAAGAAAGTAACAAGAGACAAAGAAGGACATTAGATAATGATTAAGGGGTCAGTCTGACAAGAGGATATAACCATTATAAATATCTATGAATCCAACACAGAAGCACCTACATATGTGAAACAAATACTAACAGAATTAAAGGAGGAAACAGAATGCAATGCATTCATTTTAGGAGACTTCAACACACCATTCACTCCAAAGGACAGATCAACCAGACAGAAAATAAGTAAGGACACAGAGGCACTGAACAACACATTAGAACAGATGGACCTAACAGGCATCTATAGAACTCTACACCCAAAAGCAGCAGGTACATATTCTTCTCAAGTGCACATGGAACATTCTCCAGAATAGGCCACATCTAGGCCAGAAAAAGAGCCTCAGTAAATTCAAAAAGATTGAAATTGTACCAACCAACTTCTCAGATCACAAAGGCATAAAACTAGAAATAAATTGTACATAGAAAACAAAAAGGCTCACAAATACATGGAGGCTTAACAACATGCTCCTAAATAACCAATGGATCAATGACCAAATTAAAACAGAGGTCAAGCAATATATGGAGACAAATGGAAACAACAGCACAATGCCCCAGCTTCTGTAAGGCTCAGTGAAGGCAGCTCTAAGAGGAAAGTATATAGCAATCCAGGCCTATTCAAAGAAGGAAGAACAATTCCAAATGAATAGTCTAAATTCACAATTATTGAAACTGGAAAAAGAAGAACAAATGAGGCCTAAATTCAGCAGAAGGAAGGATATAATAAAATCAGAGAAGAAATAAATAAAACTAAGAAGAATAAAACAATAGAAAAAATCAATGAAACCAAGAACTGGTTCTTTCAGAAAATAAACAAAATAGATAAACCCCTAGCCATACTTATTAAGAAAAAAAGAATCTACACACATAGACAAAATCAGAAATGAGAAAGGAAAAATCACAACAGACACCACAGAAATACAAAGAATTATTAGGAATACTATGAAAATATATGCTAACAAACTGGATAACCTAGAAGAAATGGACAACTTTCTAGAAAAATATAACCTTCCAAGACTGACCCAGAAAGAAACAGAAAATCTAAACAGACCAATTACCAGCAATGAAACTGAACTGGTAATCAAAAAACTATCCAAGAACAAAACTCCCATACTCCAAGAACAAAACTCACTGCTGAATTTTATCAGATATTTAGAGAAGACATAATATAATGCCCATTCTCCTCAAAGTTTTCCAAAAAATGGAAGAGGAGGGAAAACTTCCAAGCTCATTCTATGAAGCCAGCATCACTCTAATACCAAAACCAGGCAAAGACCCCACCAAAAAAGAAAACTACAGACCAATATCCCTGATGAACATAGATGCAAAAACACTCAGCAAAATATTAGCAAATCAAATTAAAAAATACATCATAAAGATCATTCATCATGATCAAGTAGGATTTATTTCAGGGATGCAAGGATGGTACAACATTAGAAAATCCATCAACATCATCCACCACATCAACAAAAAGAAGGACAAAAACCACATGATCATCTCCATAGATGCTGAAAATGCATTTAACAAAATTCAACATCTGTTCATGGTAAAAACTCTCAATAAAATGGGTATAGAAGGCAAGTACCTCAACATAATAAGGGCCATATATGACAAACCCACAGTCATCATCATACTTAACAGCGAGAAGCTGAAACTTTTCGTCTAAGATCAGGAGTAAGACAGGATACCCACTCTTCCCACTTTTATTCAACATAGGTCTGGAGGTCCTAGCCATGGCAGACAACAGAAAGAATAAAAGGCATCCAGATTGGTAAGGAAGAAGTCAAACTGTCAGTGTTCGTGGATGACATGATATTGTATGTAGAAAACCCTAAAGAATCCACTCCAAAACTACTAGAACTAATATCTGAATTCAGCAAAGTTGCAGGACACAAAATTAATACACAGAAATCTATTGCATTCCTATACACTAATGATGAACTAGCAGAAAGTAACAAGAAAACAATTCCATTCACAATTGCATCAAAAAGAATAAAATACCTAGGAATAAACCTAACCATGGAAGTAAAAGACCTATACCCTGAAAACTACAAGACATTCTTAAGAGAAATTAAAGAGGACACAAATAAAAGGAAATTCATCCCATGCTCTTGGGTAGGAAGAATTAATATTGTCAAAATGGCTATTCTGCCTAAAGCAATCTACAGATTCAGTGCAGTACCTATCAAAATAGTGACAGCATTCTTCAACAAACTGGAAAAAAACAGTTCTAAAGTTCATATGGAACCCACAAATAGCCAAAGCAATCCTGAGAAGGTAGAATAAAACATGGGCAATCTTGCTTCCCAACTTCAAGCTCTACTCCAAAGCCACAGTCATCAAGACAATTTGGTACTGGCATAAAAACAGACCCATACATCAGTGGAANCATAAGTTTCTCTTTTCATATCTCACAGGTATAGAGGCAGAATCTGTTTTTTCTGATGCGTAATTCTTTTTTTTAATTCAAATTATTTTTCTGCTGATGTAAAGAATAAAAAATAAAATTAATCACATTCACATGTACTCAATTTGTATATAGTTTTATAAAATCTTAAAAAGGAAATGCAAAATGTGAAAAGTTAGAATGAATATTTTCATTCATTTTTTTCTTCAATGAATTGTGAATTGCTTCTGCTGGTCTATGAAGATAATATCAAACTTCAGAGGAATTTAAAAATAATTACAGAATCCCAATTTAAGGAAATTAGTTAACTAGATTAAGTTCTTGTTGAATTTACTAGTACTTCCCCATTGTTTAAGGTTAACCAGAACTGCAGTTAGCTAAGGCATCACATAATAGTCCTAGACAAAAAAAGAACATGAAACCAATCTCTGCCGTTGCCCTTCCTGTTGGTACAGTCTGACACCCAGGCAAGTTTGTCAACTTATATTCCTTGTTTGGAGTAATAAATGGTCTCATGCTATAAAAACTAGGGTGATTTCTAACACTGTAAGGTCCTTCCCTATTTTTATTATTCTTGGGAACAAACTGTGGATGGGAATAAATTGTACACACGTACTTGGTTTTCCTTGCTCAGAAGCTCACCTAGCCCTAATGTTCCTTTGTAACAGAAAAAACATAATTAAAGATGATCTTCCTTATTTCATCCAAGGCAGTTTTCAGACAAAGAACAATTGCTTGGCCAAAAAGAGAAAAATATCTCACAAGATTTATTTTCCTTTTCAAAGAAGAAAGTTTAAACAAGTGCTTAATTTTCTTTCTGTTATGTATCTACTTCCTGCCTTTCCCTTTAATACCTGTATTGAAGGCAGAAGCTGCATGGAGACCATGAGAAGAAGCCTGAGGTTTCTTACAATGCTTGGGCTGCAGTTTATACTGTTCAACTGTTCTGTGTCAGGAAGGGAATCAGAGAGTTTTGGGAAGGGAGACTTTACCAATAACCCATAAATTCAGGGTAAAATAAAGCTTCTCTTTGAACATTGTAAAAAAAAATGGAAAAGAAAAATGGATGATATCACACAGTGGGAAGCACCTGGTGCCTGAAGGAAACCTGGATTCTGATTCTGTTCCAGTTGCTTATTAGCTGTTTGACTTTTGGTTAATTTGCCTAACTTTCCCAAGGTTTGAAAAATAGACAATGGGAGTCCTAACACCTGCCTTATACATTTGTTGTGCAGATTAAATGAGGTCAGGTATGGAAAGTAACTGGTTCTTAGTGGTGTTAAAGTAACAATCACTATTATTACAAGATTTTAACAGAGATTATTCTGTCCAGGAATGGCCTAGGTTCAGAAATCAGATGTTTCTTTAAATCTTTGCACTTGGCACTCACTCTTAATGACTTGGGGACAGCATACAGTTGTCAACTCAACAAAATAGTATATCTCTTAAGGTGATTGTTTGAATCCAATTGGCTTGATAAAACTGCTAAAATAACTGGTGGAACGATCAAGTGATTAACCGAGGAGACCCCTTTAGAGTTCTCTTAATCCCTGTATCTCAGATAGTTCTTTGTCCCTGACAGGTTGCTGCTTTAAGTAACAGTATGGATTTTTTACTTTATCTTCACAACATAGGAAATGATGAAATTTCTTAGTAATAAAGTATCTCTTACAGCCATGATTCAGTGGTTCACTGAACATTTGATTTGGAAGGAAATTGAGATAGCCTTTAGCCCAACCCGAATTTACTGTCAGGGAAATACAGTGACCCACAGAAAGCTGAAGTGACTTTCCCAAGGTTCCATGGCTGGTTAGTTGTAGAGCCAGGCCTAAACACAGGGTCCTAATTCCTAATTTAATTTTCTGTCCACTGCTCCTATCAAGATGACGGCACTAGTTTGTATGTTGCCACAAGAATTGGAATTAAAAGTTTATTTGAAAAAATTGTGTACAATATATACCTACCTGATAGGCTTCCACTACCAAATTATTGAGGTTTGCAGCCTTTGATTCTATTTCACCAGCAATGGTTCCAGGCAAGAGGGGTAGAAGGTCCTAGAAAACATATCAGTAACATTTACTTAATGATAATAGTATACAGTGATTTAGCAATCAACAAATAATAGAAGTTCTTACAGTTTTCAGTGGAAGGTGAGCTATTATGTGAATCCAAAATTATAAGACACAAGTAGAGAAGCCAAATGGTGTGATGCACACACCTGTATCATGTGTCATACATAAACCTGATGGTGGTTGTGTATGTGTGTGAATGTGTGTGCATGCACAAATTACATGCCAACCTATAAACCCAATCAAAGTACAGACCAGTACTTCCCAAAGTATCTTCCCTGGAACATTGTCTTGAGATATTTTAAACATGGAAAATGTTCTGAGGACAAACAAGTTTGGGAAGTTCTGCACACGGTTTCTTCCACTTACAGATTCAAAATGCACACTTGCAGATAAAGGTTCAGAGAAGTCTTGCAATTTGGAAATAAGTTAGCATTATTTAATGCAGCATTTCTCAACATCTCTTTAATTACTGAACTCATTTTCCATGTAACATACGTAAGTATTTTGCAGAAACTGTTCTATGGAATGAGCTTTAGGACATGTTGGCCTAGATTGGAGAAAAAAAAATCTTTACAAGTGGAAGCCTTACAGAGTGGGTACTTTAGATGGATGGTACTTAACAATTATGGAGAAAATGCTAAGTATTCCATGTGAAAATGGGAATTAGCAGGGCTTAAAGGTCTACCTGAGTTGCAGCTGAAGTAAGAACAGAAGAGAAACCAGCCTGACTGGAGTAAAGGATGCATATTTATAAGCAATCAGATTATGAAAAGGCTTGAAATCCATTCATACACACATTTTACTATTCACAAATATCACTAAGTTCCTGCTGTATGGCAGCCACTGCTTAGACACTAACAATTTAGTACCTCAGGTAATAAGGAAAGTGTATCACTTAGAGATTTTAAAAATCAATTTATCTAACCTTTATGGCACCTATTGTGTACCACTTTGGACATGGTAAATTGCTAGGCCACATAGTTACCATCCTTAAAATCTCACAGTTATATAAATGAAAATTTCAAAAAACAGTGTACACATGAAATAATAGAAATACTCACAGACCCTAGTGAGAGGGCTACCCAGCAAGCATCTGAGAGCTGGGGAAGGTTGTCAGGGACTGTTTACTGGAGGAGGTGACTCATGAGCTGTGTCTTAAAGGATGAGGGAGTTAGTCAAGCCTGAAATGGGTTCAAAGATTCAAATATTTCTTGTGGCTACAAGAAAGTAGTTTCTCTGAAGTATAAAAAAGTAAGTAAAGGGCATTGGGAGTAGAAGGAGGAAACAAAGACAACAAAGAAGAGGAAGACGATTCAGTGAACTGACATGCAATGACAGGTAGGCTATTACAGCATCATGGAAATGAGGAGAAGAGAGTTTCCTGGAAGAAAGAACCTAAAAGACTGTGAAAAGAAAGCTATAGCAGGGTCACAGAAGAGGAGCTCTATTTTGGGGTGGGGGGGTGCTGTTTCATGGCACTGCCAGAGTGACATGGCTGCCAACTCTCTGTTCTGCTTGTGGGTCTCACCTCGTCCAAAAGGTCTGGACAAAGCCAAGATTATCCTTCTGCAGGAAGGCTCTGACTGGGACTGCCGTGGCTCCTCTTGTTCCTTTATTGGATGACCTAGACAAAATCTAAGCGTGTTGGTGCTAAGGAAACTTAAGCTGATCTATTATAAAGATATGTTCATGGGCCAGAATATAAGCAGGACTGTGGACATGAAAGGTGTAGTTAGAATATGAACTACTTTTCACCTGATAAAAGTCTTCTCTGTTATTGTCAGAGTCAATACCACACTAAGTACCAGAGCCCATACTGGGTTCTAGATGTTACAAATAGATAGAATTTATACTTACATGCTGACTTAGACACTGCATACTATATATTAGTTAATACAGTATTAAATTTAGATCGTACAAAGTACAATAACTCCAGAATCCTTACCTGGGGTAACTATTCTAATTGCACTGCCAGTGCAAACATTTTAATTTTTATATTTTGGGAATTAACATACCTTATACCAATGAAACTGCTTTCCTTGAACTGCAAAGATGACATTAATATTGTTGTTAATTAGCTTTTCTGAAAGTTGGCCTAGTGAGGGATGTTCCTGTATGGATAATGATATTAAAAAGAGTGAAATTTAGTATCACAATCTCACACATATCCAAACATCTATTATGAGGAAAACCATGACTGACACAAAAATATACTGTGTTGGGAAGAATTAAGGTTTTGCTAGAGACATTTAAATTATTTTAAAAAATAAGATCAACGTCAACATATTAAGGATATTTTGTAGGCAAAAGCTCCATAAAAACCCATAACTCAGAAAAAGAAAGAGGCCTGAGTTCATTATAGTACAAAGAGTGTTCAACAGCATGTCTATAAATTAATTTAGGACTTAAACTAATATCATTGAATGATAATTTACTATTCAGAGCAGACAAACATTGGTGACAATCATTCTGATGTAAAATTCAGTAGCAAGTGTTGAAATGCAAATGTGTGCCTGTACACACACACACACACACACACACACACACACAGTTGATATAAAATATGATATTATAAACTCTGTTGAAATGCAGAAAAGTCTGTACTCAAATCCCAGGTTGTCACTTTATGATAAAAATTCTATTTCAGATCTGTCCTCTGCAACATGTGAATGCTATCTACCTCCCATGATTGCTGGCATGACTAAAGAGAACAATAGTATGTGAACTATTTAGCGCAGTTTATAGGTACTTAAAACTAATAGAAATCATCGTGACTTTTATTTCCCACAGCTTATACAAGGTGTAGGTTACAGAATTTTCAACTTACTATCATTATACTAACCTTTTGTCATGAGATATATTAAAATTTGTTTACTCTGATAAACAAAATTTATGTGGAATCAAGTGTGACATTCTTTGTAGTAGTGAGAAAATGGAATGAGCAGGAGAAGGGGAATACAATTAATATGAGAAACCTTAACAACTACGGAAATCATTACATTTATATAGTTAGACATAGTACTTGATATTTTTTCTTTCTGTAAATGTGCTTCAAGAAATTAAAGCACTGATTTCAAATAAGTTTCATAACTAGACCCCTCCCAGAGAAAGGACATCAACTTTCACCAGCACAGTTGCTCACCAGTTTTTGTTCTTAGTTGTATTAGCTAAGGATCATGTGATTGAGTCTAATTAGTATTATGTAATTCAAGTTCAAATTAGTCTGTAGTTCTTGCTCCCTCTTTTCATCTCCAATGCTAATTGCGTTTTCTTTAAGGGAAAATTGTGCTAAACCATCTTGGTTAACATTTCTGTATTTTGGCAACTGTGTGAACTTAGTAAAACAGCTAATTTTACTAGTTTCACTTATAGCCTAAACTCTGTGACCAACATATTAAATTTATATACACAGACATAAGATATAACCTGTGCTTCAAAATACTAACATGAGTAAATACTATGATTCAAATATTTTTGTTCTCCTTCCCAAATTCATATGTTGAAATCCTGACACCCAAGGTGATGATATTAGGAGGTGGGCCTTTGGAAGACAATTAGTTCATGAAGGCAGAGCCCTCATGAATGGGATTAGTGCCCTTATGAAGACAGGACAGTGGTGAAAGCTCCCTTGCCCCTTCTGCCATGTGAGATTTACTGCTAGAAGGTGTCATTTATGAAACCAGGAAGTAGGCTCTCACCAGACCACTGATTCTCCAGGTTCTTGATCTTCACAAGCTCCAGAACTGTGAGGAGTAAGTTTCTGTTGTTTACAAGCCACTCAGTTCCCAGTGTTTTGTTACAGCAGCCTGAGTGAACTAACATAATAATCATAATGAATATCCTTTAATTTCTGTATAACCTGTAATTGCTGTGGTAGAAACAGATCAAATTTTCATGAAATGCATTTAAATGTGATATGAAGCCAATTTATGAAGAGGTTCGAAAAGTCTTACAACATGGATTTGAGTAAAAGTTCTGCCCAGAGCAGAGGAGAGAGGAAATGATGGTGGCCTGAGTAGGGTGCTGGAAATGTTCTCCCAAAACCATATGTATTTTGAAAGTACAGCAAATACAACTATTCCTAAAAGAGTGACCAGAAGATACAGTACACCAGCTGGGCTACATCCGCGAGAACCCAACATCTCACAGAAAAGGGTAAGATACAAAGCCGTTACCTGGTGGGACTAGAGCACTCCCCCCACCCTAGCTCACCGGTGGGAGGAAAAGAATCAGAGTGGGGAGGGAGTGGAAGCACAGGACTGCTAAATAACAAGCCCTTGTAATCTGCCCTGGGAGCACAGACACACATTGCATGGTGTCTGGATATTAGAGGAGAGGAAAAGCAAAATCCGAGACTAAGACTGCAAACAGGTTCCCACAGGCACTTTAAAAGTCTTAAAGGGACAAGGGTTTAACAGGTGGACAAAATTGTCCTGGCACACTCAACCCAGCAGGCTGGGAACTTTAAGGAACTTCAGGTGCCCTAACCCCCTGGTTGGCGATGCAGCTCCAAGACCCCTAACTTCAATAAGCAGCCTGCCTTTCCTTCCTCCCCATGGGCACCTGCAAGCAAACCAGCTGTCCCCACCTTTGCTGCAGACCAGTTGGAGAGCAGCCCTGCCTACACAACCACACAGCTTAACACAGAGGTCTACTCCCTGTGTGCAGCTAAATGGCCCAGACCCAGAGGATGCTCCCTGCCCTGTGTGCGGTTGACTGGTACAGACAGTGGACACAGGTGAAGAGACCAGGAAGCACAAAGCAGCTTTGTTCTTGTGGCAGAACACATGCCATTTGCCTGCAACCTCTGCCAGTGCTCTAGACCATCTCAAGGGCCACCCACACATGGCAACTCAGGGGATTAAACCAGAGGCTGCTCCCTCTACTGCAGTTGACTGGCACAGACAGTGGAGACGGGCATGGAGACTAGAAGGCACGAAGGGGCTCTGTTCTCCTGGCAGAACACGAGCTGCTGGCCTGCAACGCCGACCATCGCCCTAGGCCATATTGAAGGCCACCCTGCACACAGCAGCTATGGGGATTAACCCAGAGGCTGCTCCCTGAGCGTGGTTGACCATCATGGATGGAGGAGATGGGCTTAGAGACCGGCAGGCACAAAGGTGCCTCATACTTGCCCCAGAAACATGCACTGCTGGCCTGTGACCACTGCCACTGCCCTAGGCCATTCTGAGGGCTGCCCCACTCACAGCAGCCTAGGGGATTAACCCAGAGGCTGCTCCCTGTGTATGATTAACCAGCACACACAGCGGAAACAGGTAAGGTAACCAGCAAGCAGGAAGGAACTTTGTTCTCCCAGTTGACACATGTGCCACTCGCTGGCAACCACATTCATCGTGATGAAAAGACAGAACAACCTTGTTCAATCCAAAATCCCTCAAACACCAGAGAGAGGGCTTGGTGAGACTGAAATCACCAATCTTCCTGAAAAAGAATTCAAAATAAAAGTCATTAGCATGCTGATGGAGCTACAGAGAAATATGCAAGAGCTAAGCAATGAATTCAGGAGGGAGATAACAGAAATGAAACAAACAATAGAAGGACTTAAGAGCAGACTGGATGAGGTGGAAGAGACTGTTAATGGAATAGAAATCAGAGAACAGAAATACAGAGAAACAGAGGCAGAGAGAGACAAAGGGATCTCTAGGAATGAAAGAATATTAAGAGAACTGTGTGACCAATCCAAAGGAACAATATTTGCATTATAGAGGTACCAGAAGAAGAAGAAAGAGAAAAATGTATAGAAAGTGTCTTTGAAGAAATAATTACTGAAAACTTCCCCAAGCTAGGGAAGGATATAGTTTCTGAGGCCATGGAAGGCCACAGATCTCCCAACATAAGGGACCCAAGAAAGACAACACCAACACATATAATAATTAAAATGGCAAAGATCAAAGACAAGGACAGAGTATTAAAAGCAGCCAGAGAGAGAAAATAGATCATCTACAAAGGAAAACCCATCAGGCTGTCATCAGACTTCTCAGCAGAAACCTTACAGGCCAGAAGGGAATGGCATGATATATTCAATGCAATGAAACAGATCAAGGATACTGCATCAAATCAAGGATACTGCATCCAGCAAGATTATCATTTAAATTTGAAGGAGGGATTAAACAATTCCCACAGAAGCAAAAGTTGAGGGAATTTACCTCCCACAGACCATCTCTACATTGTACTTTAAAGGGACTGCTCTAGATGGCAGTATGCCTACGGCTAAATAGCTGTCACCAGAGAAAATAAAACCATAGCAAAGGAAGTAGACCAACTAAATATTAACTAAATGCAAAATAAAATCAGCTGTCCACAAAATCAGTCAAGGGAAACACAAAAGTACAGAATAAAACACCTAACATAAAGAGTGGAAGAGGAAGCAAGAAGAAGGGAGAAAAATAAAGAATCATCAGACTGTTTATAACAGCATAATAAGTGAGTTAAGTTAGACGGTTAGATAGTAAAGAAGCTGCCCTTGAACCTTCGTTAATCACAAATCCAAAGCCTGCAGTGGTAATAAGTACACATCCATTGATAATCACCCTAAAAGCAAATGGACTGAATGCACCAATCAAAGACACAGAGTGATAAAATGGATAAAAAATCAAGACCCATCTATATGCTGCCTACCAGAGACTCACTTCAAACCCAAAGACATACAAAGGCTAAAAGTGAAGGAATGGAAAAATATTTCATGCAAACAATAGGGAAAAAAAGCAGGTGTTGCAGTACTTGTATCAGGCAAAATAGACTTTAAAATGAAGAAAGTAACAAGAGACAAAGAAGGACATTAGATAATGATTAAGGGGTCAGTCTGACAAGAGGATATAACCATTATAAATATCTATGAATCCAACACAGAAGCACCTACATATGTGAAACAAATACTAACAGAATTAAAGGAGGAAACAGAATGCAATGCATTCATTTTAGGAGACTTCAACACACCATTCACTCCAAAGGACAGATCAACCAGACAGAAAATAAGTAAGGACACAGAGGCACTGAACAACACATTAGAACAGATGGACCTAACAGGCATCTATAGAACTCTACACCCAAAAGCAGCAGGTACATATTCTTCTCAAGTGCACATGGAACA